ACACCACCAATACATCTTTAGATAGAAACTAATATTGCATAGTTTCAGTGGAGAAGAAGAATTAGTGCAATTAGCAATAAAAAAATAGACCACTTATAGACGCCAACATGAGCTTTAAAACCCATAACTTAATTTCAAGTTTTCATGAGGCTTAGATTTTACTTCAAGCAAGCAAATAGAATATTTAAATCAAAAGCACCAAATTGATATATTATGACAATTTTTCATGATTGATACTTTGTCTATTCTATGTTTTTAGCCATGTATATGTAGCGTATATTATAGAGTTCAAAGAAAACCATTTGGATCATCCCAATAAGAGGTTCAGCCATTAACAGAAATGAAGTTCCAACCAGGTGTTCATATGTATGAGCAAATTGCATTATAATATAACATAAACCACAAAATTAGTTTATATGAACTTTTGTTCATTAGATGAGATAATACATTAGAAAAAGCTCTAACAAAGCCAACTAAAGATTAGATAATAGATAGTAGAATAAACTACTCAGTTTTTATTGATTAAAAAAATTATCCAATTAAGAATACACTGAGAAGAAATTGCAAAAATTGGTTTGGGTTTTTATATTCATTAGTTTTTACGCACGTGCAATGCACGTGGTCAAATATTATAATTGTTGATTTTTAGTTTATGTATTTACTATAACATAGTTGCAAAAAAATTATTATTATCATAATATATTAAAAAGTTTCAGATATTTCAATATATAAAATCTTGTTGGTTTCAACATTTTACCTTCCACATAATTAGTGAGGTTTGAAATCTTAAAATATGAATGATCTAAGAGCAATTTAATGATTTCGAATTTTAATTTTAAAATATTAACGATGTAAGCACCAATATCTAAAAAACTATTATTATTAAAATATATATATCTTGAATTCATCAACGTAAAATGATAGGTTTATCTGGTCATAGAGGATTTTGTTTAATTATAAAGAAATCACTTGCGTCTATTGTCTACTTCCACTTTCTATTATTTGGTGACCGAGTATTATAGATATTCAAAAACTTTTTTATAGAATTTTTAAAGTTAGAACGTGCAAATTCAATCAAGAAAGAAAATATAAATTATGTGATCAATTCTAAAATATGATATTATAACCTTCCTATATCTTCTCAACTAATTAATTAATTTGTCAAAAAGATTACTCTCTAATTTTAGAAAATTATAAAATATAATTTGAGAATGATTTAAACATATTTTGTACACATGGATTGTATTTTAATAAAATAATATAGATCTATCCAATATTAAATAATATCCAAAAATTTAAGCTAAAGAGTTAAAAGAATCTAATAACACTCGTATCCAAACTGTATGCTTCATAAATGTGAGACATCCTCAAAACTAATAACATTGAGCGGAATTCATTATGTGATAAGTACTTGAGTTGAAAAGACCAAAATATCCCTCAACCATAAAAGAATTAGCTTGGTTTTTTGCTAGATGAAAGAAAAAGTGAAGATTTAGAGGTAAAAAGAATTATAAATTAGTTGTAATCCTTTTATTATCGGTTGAGAGTTTCTTTTAACTAAAATGGATTTCTTTAATAGGGCATTTTGACAAAATCACTTATTAAAGTCTTTTACATTAAGGGGATTTGTTAAGAGATGTGTAAAAGACCAGGAGAGTTTTTATAAGACACGCTAAGTCGAAGGGTGTTTTCTAAAATCGCACCAAAGTTGAGAATGTTTATCTACAACACCTCTATAGTTAGGAGGCTCTGTCAAATTAAATTAGTTAAGTGGTTTTTTGAGACATTCCCCATACTTGAGAGAGTTTTCAAAGAATTAACTATTCTTTTAAATTTAGCTCAAATATTTTATAATTCTATATTATTACCTAAATTATAAGCAATTTCGAAATTTTAAGGGAATAATGTAGAATTGTTAGAGATTTAAAATCAATGAAATGATATCTAAATTACCTTTAAATATTGCTCTTATAGGCAATATATGAAACATTGGCCGATATATCGCTCTATCGACTGATTTAAAAGGGTAAATACTTTATCTTAATAATATTTGTGGTTTTGTATTATTTTCTTTTATTTGGATATTTTTTCCCATATATCGATCATTATCGAAAATATTGGCTGGTATAACAAAATCGAGTCATTTTTAATTTGATAGTAAGCTTGGTATTATGTTGTGTTTGGAAACCAAAACTAAAGCACAAGTCACAAAAGTCACAATTCATATCACAATCTCTCTACTTTCAGCTCTCCCAAATCTCAAGCACATATATTAACGCAAATTCTTATGTTGAATATTCATTAATATTTGAGATTATAGATTAAAATATTGTATTATGTATGAGCATTATCTCATATGACACCCAGATATTTTTTACATAACCCCGATTATTGCAACCCAATATCATGGATTTTATTTGTCCAACATTTATTTGATGCTCAACACTTTATAGTAGTCCTCCGAAAGCCTCTTCTAAAGTTTTCTAAGCAAAGTATATAAATTAAGAAATAATTCAAAATCTTAAGATTATTCAAAATATGATGCTTTAATTTTCCCATATTTCCTCTAGTATATAAATATAAGCTAACCCTTTGGCCTCATATTATATGATGAATATTATTTATCAAAGGGATCACATACTATTGCTTGTGGTTAACAAAGGCTTTAAATCTTTATTGGCTTAATTAAATTACATACCTTACAGTTTATAAAAGTTTTAATTACATACCTCCATTTGTATCTTGTTACACTTAAATATCCTAATGTTTTTAAAATTGCATGTCTGTACCTTTTATATGCAAGAATATTATTTGTAATTTTCCTATATGAATATCTATCTACCCTTTAAAAGAGGGAGTTTGGGAAAAACTTTTTCTTCCCAAAAATACCCTTCAACTATTATAATTAATAACAAAATTACCCCTTTTTATCATTAAATAGAGTTAAGAAATTGGTAGCCCGCATTCGTTCCTCCGTCGGTTACGACTTCGTAGAAGCCACCATCTGTTACGCTTCAGATCCGGCAACGCCCTCTTACGCTTCAGCTCCGGCAACGACCTCCCACTTTCTTAAATCATTAATTACCAACGTTGAGTATTATTGGTCTCATCATCACCGCACCTCCTCTGCCATCATCTCCTCACTTCTCAGATTTTGGGCATCGCTTACAATCACGAAGGAGACTCTTACAATCACGAAGGAGACTCTTTGATCCTTTTCTAAATTTTACTTTTGATTTTTAAATGTTTTTTCGTCACCCCTTCTTTCATCTTGAAGGACGGGTAACAATTTCTCAATTTCTCGTATTATAAAAAAGAAAAGTGAAAAAAAGGATAAAGAAACCCTAGAGATCGATCCCGATGGGAGAGAGGTCGCCGGCGACGGACGAGGCTGCGGATCGAGGGATGATGGAGGAGGCGACGAGGCTAGGGGAGCTCGCGTGGGAGCTTCAGGAGTCGGCGTCGTCGCTGATCTCGAGAACGTTGAACTAGGAGCAGGGACTTTGGCAGCGGGCGCTTTCCCTAGAGTCCGATCTCAGGAAGCTGAAGACCGCTGCCAATTCCGCTATCCGCAGGGGCGAAATCGATCGGAGGAATGCTGAGAAGGTGAGATTCCGATTTCAAAACTAGATCTCGATTTCGAATCTTTTTCAATTTGTTTGCTGGAACTTTTTTTTTGAGGAAATTTGAGTCATCTTGTTTCGATTTTTGACATGCAAGCATGTAAACCAACCTACTTTTGATTGGGCTTTGTTGAATATGTACTGAATTAGATAGGCAACTGCCTAAAAAGTCTATACATTTGTATTCATTTTGATGCTCTGAGGGAGAGACATGCATGCATTAATGTTCCATTGATGTCATGTTGCAATCTATTTGATGTCCTGGATTTAGAACAACATGAATTTTCGTGGGAAAATTATTATTTAGTAGTTGTTTGGTCGCGAGAAATGCTCCTAGAGTAAGTCATGGATGAGGAGCCAGTATTATGTTTATGGATGCGTATTATTTGTTTGGTTTCCAAGGGAAATTTTGGATATTTTGATTGTTCTAAATTTGGAGCGGCTGTAATTTTCAGTGGAAAATGATGTATAACAGATGTAAGGTTGGAGGAAGCAAGTTAGCCTAAGGAGGGAGTGAAGCTTTGTTGCGCTTAGAATATTGAAATTTGAGTCCCTTACTATTCGTGATAGCTTGATTTATGACTCTTATAAATCATATCAATATGATTTATAAGAATACATAAATCATATTGATAGAAAATTTACAATAATGAGATTTATGTTAAAAAAATATCTTATTAACTGTATTTTTAACTATATTTTGCATTCCAAATTATTTTTTTAATATATGCATTCTTATATGTGAATGGTTAAAGGAAGATTTATGTAACTTACCATGAAAACTTGAGATTATAGCTTTTTTATATTTGTAGTGTTGGCGGATATTAATATACCTCTGCACGAGAGACCGAAGTTTATAAAAAAAATTTAACCCTTATTTTGTAACTATTAGTTTACTGATTTGGAATTTCCTTAAATGTTTTAATATTAAAAAAAATCTTGTCTGATTTGTCTTGGTCTGTAATCATTGGATTTCCTTATACAAAACATCTAGAGGTTTATCAGTGGCAAGAGTATTGTGAATTTTTTTCCTCATTATGCTTCTATTTGTTAAATCAATTTTGTTAGGCTATTGAGCTTTTTCATTTGAAGAGCCAAGTTTCTGTGTTTACTTCCTTTAGAAGGTATATGATTGTTATAATCTAGCCCATATACATGTTATGTGGTTGCGAAAAATATTGTAGTTAAAATTCCAGTTCTATTAACATGGCAAATTATGGACTTCTTCAACCTATCAAAATGTTTACCTGTAAAGCCATCTAAAGACTAATGATTTTATTTTGGTTGTCCAGCTAGATGAAGAATTATACCGTGCAAAATGCCATATTTCAGAGGGGGATGTGTCATCTCTTCTTCCAAACAAAGATCATGGTGCATTATCTTTTGTTTACTTTTTTCTGGATTCCAATTCTGATCCTAAATTGAATTTCCTTTTTTCTTTTCCAATATGTGATGTCCATGTCGATCGTTTTTCTTTATGAGCAAGAATGTTCTTGAAGATGTTCCTTGGAACACTGAATGTTCAGGCTACAAGGAAAGAGGTTCGTCTTAAAGTGAAAGAGGAGTACAACGATTACAGGTTAAGTTGTTTTGTTTATTTGGTTACATAGCTGTCTTTCATGTTTGAAAGTTGAAACTTCATATTTGATAAAGAGGGCTCATTCTTGTTATTGTTGGATAATTAGAAGAGTACTTAGTGTAAATTCTAAAGATTTGCATGCATATCTCTAGCTTTTCTATAGGCTTGAATGGACCATGACAAGGTTTCCTTCTCATCTATGGTGCAAATTTGCGGCTCACGAATACCAAATGATTGTTTTTAGGCAGTTTCTGTGTTAGTACTCATGTTCAAGAAACTCTTATGTATCTGTCAACTTATAAAAGCAGTTTTTGTTTTAATCCTTCTTGAAATCGCACCACCATCATGTTGGTAGGTCCGTTTCCAAGGTTTTCGGGACACTCTTGTTGTACTTTCTTCACCTGTACTTTCACTTCATTCATTTTTCATGGTCTTTGTTTAACTAGAAAATGCACAAAGTGTGGAAGATCAACCTTAGAAAACTAACATTTTATGGTGATCATGTAATCATGATGATGTATTGTTAAGAATACTTAATTAAATGAGGGATCTGAAGGTTGCAGCTCTATAAAAACTTTACTTTTAATATCTCCAGTGAAAATCTACCAATAAATCTGAACTTGACCAAACCACATGATAGTGTCTTTGTTCTATTGAAAAGTTAGATTGAAGAGAATCATCCAAAGCTTATAGGCAACCTAATCAAACATATTCTGAGCTGTTCCATCACCATCTAATCCTAAGTTATTAGTGTTTAGTGACATTAACAAATAATTCTTCCTTGCATCTTATTGATTCTCATCCTTCTAAGAAGTAAATTACGAAAGAGTATCAGTGGCATGTTCTGCGTTTGAGCACATCACATAAAATTGCCAAGGTTAGTTAGTCATTAGGGATGCTGACTCAGCCATTAGTAGGAGATTTCTTTTCTTTATTCCCTGTGATTCAATTCTGGTAGTAGGCTTGCGTTGGTGGAAATTCTCATAATATGTTCCTATTAAGTTAAATTTATTACATTTACATATGAAAGGTAGATTTAAGTTTAGAAATTCCGCCTTGTAACCTGACAGTGCCGTCAGACAAGCATGTTGATATATGAATTTCATGACTATCTATAAACAATCTAGATGTAACTGGAAAGCAACCATCTTCTTGCTTAGAGGTTGACATAATTTTGTGAGTAAATGTGATGAAGATGATGTACTTTGCAACGTAGTGCATTGTGACTTTAGATGCATATGAAAGAAAAGAAAACGTTCCATCAAAGCCATGCAATAATATGCTGTCATTATCTCTTGGTAGGTCAAAATCACATTTGACAAAAGTGTAACTTTCTTTTTACAAGATCGAACGACCTTTCTGTTTCTTTTCTTTCCCTCCACTATGCTACTATTAAGGTCTGGGATTTGGAATGGATGCTTCCCAGCATTGGTAGTTCAGCTCTACCAGGTAGATAGTACCTTTCAATTGCATATCATCATCATATGTTTTTGTTTGGAATTTGTGGTTGAAGATGTTGTTTTGGTTTAAACATTTGTTGTTTTCTTCCCAGGCATGGCTATTATTTCTCTATACAAGTTTAGCTTTGCGAGAGAACATGCTCAGAGTAAATGGAAGTTATATTCGCCCTTGTTAATAATCATCCTTCCATCTTTTTGACATTGGTTAAACTTACAGTCAAGGGAGCATGTCAGGGTCATTGCTGATTTTAGTTTAGGCTAAATAGATATAAAATCTGTCACCAAATGTTACTCAGGATAATATTTGCTATCTCTGATTGAGGTAAACTTAATGTACCTATTTAGTGCTTTTTGTAGGGAAGATTGTTTCTCTATCAGTACCTACAAGCAATACAACTACCACCTTTATTGTGTTCATAGTGATTTAATTTTGCTTATTATATTGATGCAGAATTCAAGTTAACAATATGGTTAACTTGATATTAAAATGCATCTGTTCAAGGGTATATTTAATTGGTACATCTGGTTTAGGATTTTAGTGGGTTCAGTTCACTTAGCGCAGCGTGAAACCTGGAGTGGCAATGAGGGGGCATCCACATGATTTGATATAAGTAAGATCTTCAAACCCTATCTACATGATCTAATATAATTATGATCTTCAAACCCTATCCATGTAAACCAGCTTGTCAGCTGAGTTCATATTTTGTGCTACCAAGCTCAACTATTATAATGCTTTAACTTTTATTGGTGAGTTACAATGACGCCTTAATTATGAATACGAGAATCTCATTTCAACATTTAGATAGAACAAATTACTATTTATATAGGGCTTGATAATTGTTTATTATCTAGGACAACATTGCTTTTCATAAAACAATTTTTACTTGTGCTCTTGCAGGTGGATATTCCGTCATTATTGTGCTATGTTGATGGCTCTTGTGAATCTCACATGGGAGATAAAAGGGCAACCTGATTGTGCCAACAAGCATGTAGTTAATTTCTTATTTATATATTAATTTGATAATTATTATATCCAATCTAACACGAATTTTGCGCAGAAAGGGGTTGAATTGTTTCTTGTATGGGCGGTCATGCAATGTTTTGCAATGCTTCTACAAAATAGATACTAGCGCCAGCGGTTGTATACTCGCATTGCTTTAGGCAAGGTAACATCATATATTTTTGACTTGAATTTTTATCATAGTGAATTTTTGCACCCTTTGGTAAAGCAAATGCTGCCATGACTGCTTTACTCTTTGGTTTCCTATTCATCTGTCTATGCGGATTGATAAATTATTAATCTTCAACTATTGTGCTTGTTTAATGGATAAATTTAGCGGATGTATATAATTTTTTTGAGGCAATAACCTGCAAGTATAAAGTAACATTTAATAGGTACTAACCTGCTCAAACCCATACAAGCATACATACAAGAGATTATTGAGTTTGATGGTACATGCTGACTTCTTTCTAATAGGACTTGGCAGAAGCCTTTAGTATCCGATAAGAGAAAAGACAGAAAATTCAGACTTAGTGTAGAAGCAAGCAAGCACTTCTCAACTGGTGTTTTGCATGCAAAATTTGTGCGGGTTACATTAATTTTGTCGCCTTCCAAATCTTGTGAATCTTTGTCCTTGTTTTTACTGCTTGTAAGGCCCTTGTTTATAAACCTTGGAATTTCTTTTTTCCTATTATTTTTACGGATTTTTTTCTCATATGCTTTGATGTCTTGTCCATCAAATAGATTTTTGTGTCTTTTTACTCTGTTGAATCATGTTCCTTTGTTTAAAACTACATTAGTTTAACTCTAAAAAATAAATTGTCCTCTAAATATCAAGGGGAAAAGTTATTCACATGATTCCCAGATGACATCTCAACCTAACAACCTAATGAGAGAATAACATGGCTTGAGGTTCAGAGGATGCAAGTGCTAATAAATTAGTCTTATGGGCATATAAATGTCTATATCTCTGTAGTACAGGAGGTGTATCTGCAATTAACCCTGTTTTTTTTGTAATTTTATATTTCTCCATATGATCAAGTCTAAGTGCCGTCTCTCTTCATTTCTCTCTCTCTTTGCAGGCAAGGAGAATGGATGTTGTGTGGGGAGAAACTGCTGGTGTAGAAGTCCAACTATGGCTTCTGTGCCCCCATCTTTTTTTACTTTACATGTATAAGGTTAAGCTGCATAATTACAACCTCGTTGTTGGCTAAAGATTCTTTTGTTGTTGCTGTTTAGCGTAATTTAGATTCGAGAGCATGCGTCTAGGAAAGATAAATTTCAAATGAATTGTGGAGTCACACCGTGCCAGCTACCACATTTTCATTTCAAGTGTATCTTTCATTGTATGCATCAGTAATCGAAATTACTCATAGTATCTTAAACATTTTTTTTCGAGTTTAGGGTTTTGAGGCGTACGTTGGGATATTGCTTCTTAAAACTGCTTTTGTTGGCGTTGCTTCTGAGTGGCAGGCAAGAAAACCTTGTCCTATTTTCTTTTGTTTCTTCTTATAGAATATGTGATGTCTACCGTCTTGGCATGGATGTCTCTTGACTTCTACTTTGATAATGCAGGTCATATTTTGTAGCATCTTGCTGGTAATTATGGCAGTAGGCAACTTTGCAAACACGGTGCAGACACTCATGGCAAAGTCAAGATTCAAAGCTAAAATGAGACGTACAAAGAGCAAGCAAGATTTGGAACATTCTCTGTCTCCACCCTCTGGGAGATGGAGACTGCTATTGTGAAACGCTCAGCTCCCTCCTCTTCCAATGTCATGTTTGAGTTCTATCAGCAACGCTATTCATGTTTGTAAAGTGTTTTTTATTTGTTTACAAATGAAGTGGTGCCTACAAGAACTGCAGGCAATACTGCAGTTTACCTAACCATGTAGAATGAGGTGAATGTATCAAGTTCTTGTTTCAATAAATAAGTGCAATTATGAACCTTTTCTGCCGTCTCTTAGCTTGAGATCCTGCCTGAGTTACCCAAGGAATTTTGCTGGTGCTGAGAAGTGGAGGCATAGGGCTGACGTCATCATCATCGGAAAAGGGAACTTTTGTTGTCGGTTATTAGATGTCTGATTGATGTTGTTTGCGAGTTGTGATAGGCAAATAATGTGTTTGAACATTTTGTGACCATTTTACATTCCCTACGGTTATGAGGTATTTTGATATATAATTCCTTCTTACAATTTATACTTCCTATACATTCTAATACTATGAAGATACTTTGTTGATACAGGTCAGTTATTGTCTTGAATGGGAAGGGAGCTAAATTGGCAAAGCATTGTGTACCTGCAGATCCTACGAAGAGGTGCATGCTAAATCTACTTTAATTAGATACAGAAGGATGTCATATCATCCCTAGCATTTATGACAGTTAACAAATTTATTTCAACCTGCATGATATCTATCACCTACAGAAAGATGAAAGAAAGCTTGTATCGAATAGGGTTCAGCCCCGAACCAGACCTAGCTCACAAGGGAGAAGCTTCAACAGAGGTAGGAAATGCATATGAAAGCCTACTGTTGGGAGCCAATGTTAGTCAAATGACCATGAAACTACACCTAATGTGAGACGAAGACAAGTTATAGATGACCAATCTGCATCAACCAGTGATAATTCAGTGTGAAGAATGTATGAATCGAATCCTAGATTTTCCTCAGAGAAACCAAATGAGAGTGGACAGAGATTGAGTTTAGTATATTATTTAAGTCTTCAAATGTTTGGTACACGAATCTCTACTATTTGTGGTGTATTTGTCTAAACTATCCCTAAATTTAATTTTATTGTACAAACGTTGTGAATTTTTAAATTTTGTTCATATCTTGGCTATATTGTTTACATTCAATAAATTTATACCAAATCTCTGCCTAAATAAAATTATAATTTAAAATAATATTAAAAATTTTACCACGTGCATTGCACGTGCAATCCAACTAGTAATGATATAAGTTTAGGATAATTCTATATTTTCTACTCTTTCCATTAATAATTTATTAACATGCAATTGTCTATTAATATATTATTAGGCATTACTAATAATTAATATGAGATTTTCACAATCACATTAGAAGTTTTAGGGACCAAGTTAGACAAACTTGAAGTGGCATATAATATGATTAATTAACAATAATGATTAATTTAGTTTAGTTAGGATTAAAATATAATATTTAAAAAATAGGGGTAATATAGTCCATAGAAAGTTTTTTCTCCAACTTCCTCTTTTAAAGGGAGTATGATATGATTCTAAGTGAAGTATATAATTTCATTTATAATTCAAAATCTTGAAACTTATTCAAAATATGATGCTTAAATTTTTCACATCTTCTGTACTATGTAAATATAAGCTAAACCTCTGGCCTCATATTATACGATGTATATTATTTATCAAAAGAATCACATACTATTGTTTGTGTTTAACAAAGGCTTCAAATATTTATAGTCTTAATTAAACATAAATAGCTTACAACTTACGAAAGTTACACGCATATACCTCCACTTATATCTTAGTGCACTTAGATCTTCTAATATTTTCTAAAATTGGATGTTTGTACTTATGTACGTAAGAATACTCTTTATAATTTTCCTATGTGAGTGCCACGATATAATTTTAGGACAATTCTATATTTTGTACTCATTCCAAAATAATTTATTAACTTGCAATTGTCTATCAATATAGTATTATGCATTATTAATAATTAATATGAGAGTTTTACAATAACATTGGAAGTTTTAGAGCCAAGTTAGACAAAATTAAAGTGGCATGTAATATGATTAATTAATAATGATAATTAATTTAGTTAATTTATGATTAGAATATAATAACAAAAAAGAATAGGGGCAATATAGTCCATAAAAAGTTTTTTCACAACTCCCTCTTTTAAAGGGAGTATGATATGATATGATATGATATGATGATATAAACCGAATTTCCTCTCTGAAGGCATTAAATTTGTTGGATGCCTAGTAGAGTCAAGAATTGACCTTTAAGCGGTGTAGGTACACAAATCTTTTAATACCATTTTGAAAATTACTACCAAAATTTTTTGTCACACACAAATATGATTAATATTGTAGGGTAGTACTAATCTTAGGGCTAATTTCTTGCATCCAATAATAGCCTTTAGAACTCCTTCCCATGTGATGAAGGTGGTGCCAAGCATCCTTGAGTGGCGGCCACCTATACCAGCAATAGCTTGGGTCCAAGTCCAACCATAAATATTTTAGCTTAATCATGCAAATTAGGTGCTTCATTAATTAGCGTGCCAAATAGTTGGCTTCTGTTCTTAATAAACTATTCTTTTGAGAAACTTTACAAACTCCATGTATTGCTATATTTCACTAGAATATGCCAATTTCAGTGCTAGTGATGAGAAAGAAGTGAAAATAAAAAAGAATCATAAAAGCTCTTGGGCAACAAGGACATTGTTTTGTTTTCACATTCTCTACGTGTGCTTTTACTTTAAAAACGAAATGTAATTGTGGAAATTGTTATTATTAAGAGGTGTACACCGAAATATCTCTTATCACCAACGGACGATTACGAATCGGCTAGCTAGCGCTTTCGTGCTGATAACGTGCTGTAATCTTGTTGTTATATCTACATACATCACATATCATAAGTAAGAAACGAACATGAAATATAAGAGTAAATAAATAGAGAAGAGAAGAGATAGGGAGAAAGTGATCATCTCATTTTATTCAGCTTCCTCATTCCTCCATACATTTTGTCTTTCATGGCTTACATTATATAAATGTGGAAGAGAATACTAAAAGTCAAAAATAGGTGAATAGACTTCTTTTAGTAATGTCCACATTCATTTCTTTTATATTTACAACAATATTTAATTTATCGGAACTTCATGGTATTTTTTGCTGGTTTGAAAACTTATTAATTTTTTCTCTAATAACAATAGTTTGTAATTATTTTTATTTGAATTCTAATAATTCGTCACGGTAAAGCTTTTATTTCTTAAAGATCTTAAGCGATAAATATGGTTTTAGCCAAAGAATGTAGATTAGATGGACAAGGTATTACTTTTTCGTTAGTAAGAGAGGTTGAATGTGATTCTTTTCTTTCCTAATAAAACATTTCAAATAAATTTTCCCTGATAGTTCAGATATCCTGTTCGTTCTACTATGTGCTCATTAGTGATACAGAACAAATGTTGTGTGCTTATACTTTATTATAGAGGCTTGAACAAATATGTAGAAGATCTCCGATTTATAATTATGATATGTTATTTTACTCTCTATTCAGTTGTTAAGAAGAGTTAATCGCTATTTTTTTCACAGTTTCCTCATATCTCTAGCTTTATGGGCCCGTGCAGTGCACCAAGAAATTTAAACAATGTTAAGTTGGAAAAGAAAATTATATTTGTGGCGTTGAGAATATTTTGCATTATGTAATTTTTTTCTGTGATAAATTTGCATTCTGTAGTTCTAATATTTAGATCAAGACATAAAATTAGATATACGGCTACCATATGATCATTATTTTTCTATTAATATCATGTAGTCATTTTCATACTAGTCCTCTTAAAAGCAGAAGTTATTTCAAGAAGTATGCAAAATAAATTTTCACCAAACACTATTACTAACTTCCTCTCGTAAAAATAAACAAAAGCACTCCACAAAACAGTAGTACACAACTGGTCCTAACATCCCGCCTAAAAGTTCATTTCTACGACGCTCAAAACTACCTCATAAAATAAACAAAAGCACTCCACAAAACAGTAGTACACAACTGGTCCTAACATCCCGTCTAAAAGTTCATTTCTACGACGCTCAAAACTACCTCATAAAATAAACAAAAGCACTCCACAAAACAATTACTCTCCAAGATCTTTATATTTTGAACATAATCACAAATCTTTAAGTGTTTCGAAATTAGTCCCACATATTTATATTTTGAAATTAATCCATTATGGCTATAAGTATTTTGAAATTAGTCTCTCTAGTTATCTTTATATTTTAAAATTAGTTCATTATACTTGTGAGTCTTTTGAAATTAGTCTCTCTAGTCGGCACTAGATTAAGATTTGTGGGATTAATTCAAAAACAGTATACATTTTATATTTTTGGGGGATTAATTTTAAATTATGAAAATCTGAGAGACTATCAAAACAAAGATTGGGGAATAATTCTAAATATGAAGATGTGGGCCTATTGTCGGGTGCTAATATAAAAAATATGAAGATTCATTAGCTTGATGGGGGAAAAAGAGGGTCTGTTTGGTTGGTTTCCTAAAATCAAAGAAAATGAAATAAGACCCCGGAAATCATTAAAAGTTGATTTTCATCCATTTTTATCCTTAAAAATCATCCACATCATCCAATAATATGATAACAACTCATCTCATCTCATCTCCTTTCTTACTTTTAAGAATGAATCAAACACAAGAAATGAGTCACATCATCCATCTCATCTCATCTTTAAAAATAAGTCACATCATCCAATAATATGGTGACAACTTATCTCATCTTATTAAAATTTGATTTCCATTCATTTCCTTAAAAATCATGAAATGAGTTTCCCTAAGGGGCTGTTTGGTTGATGTATTTGGTATTAGGGGTTGGGCAGAAAGCATGCCAAAAGAGTACTTTTGGCAGGCTTTCTGCCCAAAACGCCTCTAAAAAGAGGCGTTTTGGGCAGAAAGCCTACCAAAAATGCTCTTTTGGCAGGCTTTCTGCCCAACCCCCAATGCTAAATACATCAACCAAACAGCCCCTAAATATGAGTCACATCATCCAATAATATAATGACAACTCATATCACCTTATCTCTTTTCTTAGTTTTAAGAATGAACCAAACACAAGAAAAAACCTATATAGAAAATAGATTTCTTATAATTGATTTCTTTATTTTTTTAGGGGTTATTTGTTTGCTAAAAAAAATGAGAAAACCCCCCGCCACGTAGGATTTTGGTTTCAACTGATTTCCAAATCACATGTTTGTTTTGTTTTGTGATTTAAAGAAATGAGGGTGCCACGTAGGATGCCACATCAGATTTTAAAAAAAAGTGTTTTCACACAAAAAACCTCTGAAAACACTTAGAAATGTCACTTCAATGAATTTTTAATTACTAAAAGTACTGTTGAAACAGTGACTGTGAATAAAACAGATTATTTAATTGCTGAAAATACTATTACTATTGCGACTGATTTTTTTTTTTATATTCAAACAAACACAAGAAATAGAAATCAAAACACTGTTATTATTGCGGTTGGATTTGTTTCATATGTGACGTGGCGGTGACGTGACGATGATTTTATTGCGAAAAAAAAGAAATATGAAAAATATCTTGAAATCTCTTGAAATAAATTAAAATGTGAGTTTTCTATTTTTAATTTTTTTGGGAAAACAACCAAACAAACTAAAAAACAAGTTATGAAATTTATTTCTTAAAAAATCACACACCTCAGCGAAAAGAGCCTAGGGCCTGTTTGGATTCGTAGGGGGTGAAGGGAAGTTAAGGGAAACTGAGTGAAGGGAAGGGAAGGGAAAGGAAGGGAAGGGAATTCCATTCCCCTTGGTTACACCCCAATTTGGGGGTAACAATTTTTATACTATTAGGGGGTGAACCAAGGTGAATGGAGGTGAATTAACTTCACTTCATAAGTGTTCCCAAACAAGGTGAATGAAGGTGAATGGTTCCCCTAACTTCCCTTCACCCTCATTCCCCTCAATCCAAACAAGCCCTAAATAAATATGTTTCCTTTCTTTGATTTCATTGTTTTTTTAGCCAACCAAACAGCCACATAACCCAAAACCCAAAACCCTAGAAATCTCCTAGAATTGCTTTGCATCGCAGAAACGTCGGAGATTAGCAGAGAGAACCCAATTCCATCAGCAATGGCGGCAGAAGACTCGGACGCCAAGACGAAAGCAGAGAGATCGATCCTAGGGTTTCTTAGATCCAACGACGTCATCGCCGACTCTCACCAATTCGCTTCTAGCATCGGAATCGGCCACGGGGAACTCGAGAGCGTGATCAAGAGTCTCTCAGCATTCCAATTCATCGAGTCGCAGGTCAATTTGCAGTCTAATTCACCTTAATCTCGTCTTTTTAGGGTAAGATTTGATCAAAAACCTGTTTTTGTTGTGGAAGCAGGATGTAAAGAAGGACAAATGGCTGTTGACGGAGGAAGCGAAGTTGTATGCTTTGAACGGATCGCCGGAGGCTCAGGTTTTTTCAGCGGTGCCTCCTGAGGGGATCCCGAGGGCCGAGCTCGAGGTGATTAGTTGTTAATTTTATTGTAGTGTATTTTTTAAGTATTATTTGTTCCACTGATTGTTACTCGATTTAGTTGTTTTTATTTTTATTTTTCAGAAAAAAGTTGGTAGTCAGATTTTCAAGATTGGTTCGTCCCAAGCAGTCAAGAATAAATGGGTGGAGATTGGTAAACAATTGGTCTCCAGAAAGGTAGAGTCATTTTCTTTTTTCCCCCTTATTTATAGATTTACGAGATTTTGAGTATTTAAATTGCATGATTCCATTACCATCAATCATTAATTTGTTTCTCAGTTAAGAGAATTAATTAATGTTAAATGTTTTAACTATTTGGAAATGTTAGCTAGAAAAGAGAAGTGGGCTTGCGAACTTGTTTACCTGCATTATATGTGTGCCTTCTTTCCTCAATTATCGTGGTTTCACCTGCATTTTCAAATGGAGTTATTAGGTTTACCATTATACAGAGTGTAATCACACAAACTAGTTTTGCCGCCTAAATTAGCCTTGGAGGATATGTTTCCACCAAATAAATACTAAAAGAAAGAGTCCAATGACTATGATTATGTGGCAGTTGATAAGAAGTACATAATGTAGAAGCATAACACTTGGAATTTATTTGTTAGAAGGTACAAAGGTTGAGTGGTTCTAATATTTTATCTAATTAGTGGCAGACTACCCTTCCCACTATGTAAATAGAACCTTCCCAAAAAAGATACTCTCTATCGAAGAGAAAAATAAATTTATTTTACCATATAGTATCTCTTGTCCCCTAGCCTTTTCAGATTATTATGCCAAAACATAATGTCATGAGTAATTGTATATAATTGTATTCATTTGGATGTTATCTTGTGAGCCCTATAATTATATAAATCTTACTTCTCTTGCTACTGTTTCATGGTTTGGTCTAGTGGCGGATCAAGAATTTCTGTAAAGTGGTGTCGCTGCATAATTAATAATTTCAAAAAGTTACAGCCGTCCTCGATGAGTTCATCTTTTGAAAAAAGTACGTGATCGCATCATTGGTGACACTATCGAATAGGCGAATACAATGTTTTAAATGTCGAATATCGGATTCATGTCGGACAGCCAAAATTCACGTTGTATAGCGGAAGTCGGGGATATGTCGGGAGACATATACTAAATATCGGATTGCCATATCTGATGGATTTCTACTCAATTTTGGCCACCAAAATGGAATGCACTTGTCTTGTTATAACTTATCCTACATGAGTTGAGTATTCATCATCAAGACACGAGTCGTTTTCCATTTCTTGAAGAGAAATATTAGAATATTATGCCAACAAATAAATAAAATATACATTGTCAAACTAGAACTTTCAAAGTACCTTGCATAAAATTAACATAAATTAAATTGCCTTGCATAAAATTGACATAAAATATTAGACTTTGAATTGATTTCAAGCTACGGTTCAAACTTATTGTTTACATCACGCTTTTATGTATTCTCAATTTTAATTTGTAGAGACGAAGACGAACGTGTTAGACCCTAGGGGGGTGATTAGGGTCTTATGCTAATCTAATTCGATTTTATGCCAATTAAAACTTATTAATAAGTTATCCTAGCAAGTATGAAATACAACATGATATGTGAGCTAGGATAAGTAATATGAATAATGAGATATATCCTATAAGATAAAAATATATGCAAGGATATATAAACTAACACAATGGTGATATAATCAAACTATAAATGTGATAGGGCAAAATATACAAGAGTAATAGGCAATGGTGATATAAGATAAATGCATAAGCAAATACGTCAATGACAAACTCAAACACACGATATGATTACGGGGTTCGGACATTCCGTCCTACGTCTCCGCTCCCCACTCCCGGGGAGAAATCCACTATCACAATCCGGTTTGGAAGCCGAAACTTCTACACACTCGGTTTTCTAGCTAACCGAAAACTCTACAACTCACACTCTTGCAAACCTATTCTACACCCTCACAAGTGTTGGACCTAGCCGTGTCTTCCTCAAGTGCTCGGTTACAACCTCTCCCTAGGTTCGTCAACCGACGTTACTCCTCTTGGGACGATCCCCGACTCTCACCACACATTCCTCTCGGTGTACAAGTGTATTACAAAGTGTATCCTCATAATTAGGCTTAATATAATAAATGTTTGTTCTCTACTATGGATGATAACACAATAAAAGCTCACACTCAATTGTTACAACTCTCACCAACCCAAATATACTATGTATGTAAATACAATAAGTTCAAGTAGGTGTGTGTAAATAATGAGTGAAATCAAATCAACTAAACTCAATTAAAATCTAGCATATAGAAATTATGAACAAAAGAATAAATAGCTAGAAATAGAGTTTAGAAATTCTTCTCTGAAAAACAAGATGGAGAAGTGGATTGAAATGAAGTTTAAACACTGTAAATGATCTTCTTCACTTGTAAAACAATCTTCAAACCAACCAGACTTTGAACCCAACTAAAAACCCTTGTTAAAACTCTTTTAAACTTCTTTAAAACTTTTCATTGGGTTTGAACCCAACTAAAAACCCTTGTTAAAACTCTTTTAAACTTCTTTAAAACTTTTCATTGGGTTACTGATAGAAGAGAGGTTGAGGGGTTTATATAGGAAGAGAAACCAACAGCCAAAACCCCAAACAAAACAACAAAAATCCTAGAAAAACAGGAAACAGATTCTGTACCTAATATAACCGTTGGGCTATTGGCGATCGATCGTGAAATTCTCGCGGTCAACCGCGAGGCACTACAGAATCTCAGAAAACATCCAGAGACTTTGGCGGTCGACCGTGGAAAATTTTGAGCTGACGGTCGACCGTGACGGTCGACCGTGAAAGTCTCTGCTGCCTACTCAGAAAAGAACACAAGCGCGGTCGACCGTGGCGGTCGACCGTGAACTGGAGTCTCTGCTGCCTACTCAGAAAAGAACACAAGCGCGGTCGACCGTGGCGGTCGACCGTGAACTGATACAAGAAATCAAGTTTTGAAAGTTGTTTTCTGATCTTAAAACACTATTTAAAAATATCAAATAAATTTTAAAAAATGTAAAACTTTGGGGAATGATTGTAGACATGATAATAAACATGTTACAACGACTGGTTTCCAAAAAGGACTTTCCAAATGAAAAATATCATCATTTTACAAAATAGGTCAAAACATGAAAATGTAAACATGTGAATTTTGATATTTTGGCTAAACCATGTTTTAAAACTTTGCACAATAATTATGTAGACTTAATAAAATATGTATATGATTATTGTTAAGTTCAAAAACTAAGAATACAATATTTTTGCAAATACAATAGAAAATGAAACATATGAGTATGTATATAAAAATATATTTGTTTTATATCTAAGTAGTTAAATCAAATCACAATAATAAATATGAAATATGTAATTTCATATTTGTAAACATGACAACCCAAAACCATGCATGTATATATATAACTATATATATACATAGAAACCAAATACGTGTGTATATATGATATCGAGCTTAAGGTACTTAACACACATAATATAAAACCTAAACTAAGTTACCCAAGCTAGATCTTGATCTTCAATAAGCTCGACTTGGTACACTTGCGGATGAAGCTTGAACTTGATCTTTAACTTTGAATTGCGTAGGCTTCACTCCATAATTCCGCCAACCTCCATTGGATATGATCGTTGTGACGCAATCCATCCAACCTCCAACATATTATTTGTCTAGAATAAATATAAAACACAAACGCTAGACAAACAATATTAGATGTAAATTGTTTGTAAATCATCGTCAAAACAAGAAGGCCAACAGAACGAGAGGAGATTGCGGTGGAAAAGGGAGCAATATTTTTTTCTTTGCCCTAATCTGTATTATATGCTATCGGATTACTATGGGAAACAGGCTAAAAAAAGAATTAATCAAGTTACTTTTGAGTACTAAACCCAAATCCCAATACTTATCAACTCAAAAAATAAAAAAAATCGACCGATTTTTGATTTTTCAAGGCTGAAAATCGACTGATATGTCCGTAATATCCCCTGACATGTCCGACATGGACCTCAAAAACGATATCCGACTTGAAATGGCCATATTCGTGTTGTTCAAGCCTCTGATCCGACATGCCAGTCGACATTTAAAACCATGGGCGAATAATAGTGACACTATCAAATATGTAATCACACTTAAATAACTTCAAACATATGGTACTTAATATATGGACATTTCAAAATGGAGAAAACCTTGATTATAATGGGATGAAAATTTTAAGCTTTTCCCAAATTCTTATCGACATGGATAACAATTTTGTTAGTTAGTTCAGAATACTAGCCCACGAGTCATGTGTTATTGTGATTTATATCTCCATGCTAAAGCTGGGTGAATCTGAGAACATAGTTCCTTTGTAGGGGTTGAGATATACAGAGGTGTATACTCAATACTGAACCCGTTGGAGGAAGTAGTGCCATGTGAGATGTGACATCACCTTCCTCAAGGGTGGATCCACCTCTGGTTTGATCTGTACCAGACTACTCTTCATTTAGGTGGGCTTCAGGTTCAAGTTGCCAGATTGATTTTATTTGACAGCCAAAAGTCTGATCAGCATTTCATCCATGACACAGTATGGTGCAAAGTCTTTTTATGTTAAAATGTAAGTAGGCAATTTTAGGTATTGTAACAAATATAATGAACCCCTTTGTTAACAAGTTAAATTGGTTGGTGTTACTTCAAGTCTGCACATGATTTAAGAGAGGGAAAAAGATCCAATGCCTTAAGTTGGGTTCTCTTATGGTATTTTTTAGCATAACCAGATAAAAAGAATTTATTGTCCATAATTATCTCCCATCAGTCACTATTTGCCACCTTTTACATCCAAGGTTTTGCTATTATTAATTTGTCCGTAAACTATTTGTTCTGATCATCTTTAATTATAAATAGGGTTATAGGGTCTATTAGAAAATTGAACTATATACGTACTAGATTTTCGACTCAAAGTACATTATTTATATAATCTTTACCAAGCATTTTAAGTTTCTTATACAAAACTAATTTTCTATCTGCTATCATGTGAATTGTGAGACAAAGTAACGTGTTTAACTTCTATGGTCTTTTCTGTGGGTTCCTGATAACATTTTGACAATGATTTGTCTTTTGATAAAAGGCCTTTTGTCCTTTCATAAGTGAGACCAATTATATATTAGTTAGCAAAGTTCTATTTTATGATGATGTTATAACTTCCATTAACATGCCATCATTTATATATTTCTTGGGCAGATGACAGCATCTAATTGTTTGAATGATGAGATGTATGCAAAATTAAAGAGATTAGAGATTCACGTTTTTGTTTCAAATGCTAGCCATGCAAGCCAAATGCATTTTGTATAGTGTTACTGAATTGGTTCTCTAGTAGATCTTTTATGGTAAATTTGTTGGTTGGCTCGTATATCTTGTCTATTATAAGATATAAACTTCAAGAGCTATATAGTTCTGTTATAGATGATCTTTTCTGCATTTCTCCAAATTATGGGCATTTTTAGTGTTTTCAAGGACTTAACATACCAGTTTTATGAAAAAATGGAAGATAATAATGAGCTATTTGAAGCTTTAATTCGAAAACATTATGGATTAAACTCATTTCTTCTATACGTTACCTGTTTGTTGACACTCATATTTATTTAATTTAGAGACAGTAAAGATTGAAGTGATTCCTTATTTACACTGACACTCACGTTTCTTGTTCTTAGGTGGAAAATGTTGAAGATACCCTTAAAGATTTGCTCAAAAGTATTGAAGATGGAAAGGTGTATCAAAAATTTATTAACTTGAAGTTAGAGATTAATGATTTTTCTCTTTGTTTTTGATCAGATTGATTTTTAGTGTGATGTTTCATTCATTCCCTATTACATCATTTATTATCTATGTTTATATGTCTGGTCTCATAATTTATTGAACTTGAATATTTTTCTATATCAATACGTACCTGTTCTTGAGGCCCATGCGCTGAATGTGTTCTTTGACATATAAACATATATTTACGATTAGATGTCCATGCTTATACTGGTTGGGACAAGGTTTCGACAGAATTTGATTTCCTGTACATACAAATTTGAGCATTCTGGCATTCTGCGGCTTTTAAACAGATCTTGTATGCCAAATGTTAGGATGACCATCAGATGTTGACATGTACTATTTTACTCTAACTAACATGAAGTATTTCACCAAGTTATGCACAAAGTTAATATGTGAAAACAGTACTAAGAAACATAGAGTACTATTTTACTGTAACCTGAAGTATTTCACCAAGTTGAGCACAAAGTTAATACGTAACCAAGTTAAGCACAAAATTAATATGTGAAACAGTAGTAAGAAACATAAGAGTACTATTTTACTCTAACTAACGTGAATTATTTCGCAAAGTTAATATGTGAAAACAGTAGTAAGAAACATAGAGTAAATTTTAAAGAATGATGCGGCTATAGAGCAAGTAGGTAACAAATGATACTAGTTTTACCCAAGGTTTTAAATATCGGTTATCGGGAATTTATCGGACGACCAAAATTCTTATCGGATAGCGAAAATCGGGGATATATCGGGGATAAGTAGTATTTATCGGAGTGATATACTAGATGGTGTATATATATAATATAATAACTAAAAAATGTAATCTAACCATGCTTAATGAAATATAAACATACCAAAATGTAAATCATCATGTTTAGAATCACTAACCAATTGTAGAAAGCAAAACTTGCATCTTGACCGCACGATGAAACCATTCAATTGCATAGCCTTACTTATCGGCCGATAATCCCGATAAAAAAACCTTACTTATCGGCCGATAAGTACCGATAACGCCGATAACTCCCCGATAACTTGCCAAAAACGATAACCGATTAAAAATCCAAGTTATCCTATCGGAGAGCTCCCAAATCCGATAACTCGGCCGATAATATCGGTTATCGGCCGATATTTAAAACAGTGGTTTTACCATCCTTTATCATCTTTGACTTGCCCATCAAATTGGGCTGGCTATAGAGCCCGAGCTTTTTCCAAACATTGGAAGCTCCTCAAATAAGTAGAAGTTTTTTCGACCAATTATCAGTTTGATGTGTGTTTTAGATGTTAGCTCGAGATCCATGACTAAGTAGCCATGACCTAGAGAGGATCTTGCTTAGAAACATTTCTAGTTAATTGGCAGTTAGAACCAAGGATATAGAGAGCGCTAGGTGGCGTAGGCATTGGATCTGACGCCTAGAGCTTAGGCAGGAGCCTAGGCGGTTTTCCTATCTTTTATTTTTTAATTACAATAAGTAATAGTAAATGTCAATGTTATAGAAAGTTTAGGCATCGGATTTTCTTTCTTCGTTTAAGTGGCGGTGTAGGAGATTTTGCTGAAGGTCAAAGGAAGTAGAGGAGGTGTTCATAGTTGGAGGCATGAGGAGTTTGGAGGAGGTTGGAGAAAGTGGAGCCTGCAATGAAGGAAATTATGATTAAAACCTAAAGGCACTGTTTTAAATATCGGCCGATAATCGATATTATCGGCCGAGTTATCGGATTTGGGAGCTCTCCACTAGGATAAATTGGATTTTTAATCGGTTATCTTTTTTGTAGGTTTATCGGTGATTTATTGGCGTTATCGGCACTTATCGGCCGATAATTAAGACTTTTTTATCGGGATTATCGGGATTATCGGCCCATTTTGACTAACATTATATTTTTTTCAAGGCTATGATGCAAGTTTCGCTTTCTACAATTTGTTAGTGATTCTAAACATGATGATTTACATTTTGGTATGTTTATATTTCATTAAGCATGATTAGATTATATTTTTTAATTATTATATTATATATACACATCATCCAATATATCACTCCGATAAATACTACTTATCCCTGATATATCCCCGATTTCCGCTATCCGATAAGGATTTTGGTCATCCGATAAATCCCCGATAACCGATATTTAAAACCTTGCCTAAAGGGTACAATCTACGTGAGCAGCCCACGCTCCCCTTGGCGCTTCCAAAACGTAGGTGGGTATCCTAGATACCGCCTAGACGCTAGGCGAGGCGGCCTAGGTGTACACCTAGGTGGACTAGGCAGAGGCTTTTTAAAACATTGGTTAGAACTTACAAAATTTTCAAGTTAAATGGGTTAACACAAGTGCTCCGAGGTTAGATGTCTATACTATTCATTACTCGAGCTTTGTAAGTTGTACACCTTGTTGTTACTAGTAACAGAGGTAACACTTTTTTCAGCTTCTCTTCAGTAAATTAAAACACTTTAAAGGCTAAACCATCCTCAACAAATAACCTTACTATCTTAATCTGGTGACATTTTTTAAATGCTCTTTGACTTGTTTAAGCTCATTTTGTTCCTATGTCTTGCTCATGTTTGTAATTCCTTTCTTAACCATTTCTCCATCTATTGCCCCTTCTCATATGAATGTAGTTTTAAACTCATTGCATGGAGTCATGGATGATGCAATTTCATGAATCACATAATAATTGGACTCCATTTCAATGATTTCTTACTTTAAGACAGTCTGATGATTGGAAGCTTTATCAACAATATATTTAATTCATACATTAACCTGTTCTTTCCTTTTTATGTGTTGGTCTTCAACTGGATCTTGTTGCTTATCTGCAAGTATGGATTAAATCCTAGTTTTACTCATTTCAACTAGCTGCGGTCTCTTAATTGGAGACCCTAACTTTCTTCCGTTTAAGCAATGCCTCCAGTCAATTCCTTCACATTCTATCTGAATTCTTGCTTTCCTACACATCTCTTCTTCTAAAGATGCTTTCTTTACCTTTTCCTCTACAGTAGAGGGGTCACGATGTTGTCATTCTAGTCTTGATTTTCTGGAACACTATGAAACTTATGTTGTTTGAGATTCTTCTAGTTTCTCCTACTTTGATTAGCTATTTACATTTTCATTTCTTTGGTAGGTTTGCCTAATTTTGGTTTTCGGTAAAATATCTTTAACTAACTGATTCACCTTTTATTTCTCTCTCTTATTTGCTTCCTCCTTGTAAGCTAATCTACTTAATACACTTTTTTTGTTTTGTCATTTCACCTTACTCTATTGCTTAACTTTAGTGCATAATATGTATGGTTGATTCATACAGTTCTCAGCTTGAATGTCATCAAGCCTTATCTTCCAAGCTCTTATCCTTGGCACAATGTCTTCGAGTTCATTATTCTAAATGGTTTAGAAGTTCATCTTTATCAATTATCTTTCTGCCACTTTGGACTTGATAGGTTTTCCAGCTAACCAAAAAGCAACCATCAAGAGTTTTGGGGCTTTTCCATGGATACGAGGAATCTGTTTTGAAATCCAAAGCGAACCCACATTGTTGTGTTTGTTACGATTTAATGCCTTATTTCTTTCTTACAAACAAATTCGACTAATGTCGCTATATCTAACGGAAATTTGCGAATATGTCCTATGGATGTACAATCAGAGTAATTATATTTTACCGGTTAGACTTCTTAAACTGATTTTGGTCATCTCTCTATGCCGCATTCTTGTCTACATCCTTTTTTTTTGGGTGTGAACTCCCCTGTCATAAAATTATTTATAGTTTCCTTCTGGTGCTAACGTCTCCTTTACAACAGGTGGTTGACGATAAGGATATCGCCGCACTGAAAAAGCGGAAGCTCATTACCCTTCAGTAACCATCTTTTCCTGATGATTGAAATTTTATTTCATCTCCTGTAGAAATTCCTACCTGTTGGTTTTTTGTGTGTGATTATCTGTTTCTGCATTGTGGGAACATCTTATTTAGGCAACCAACTTATTCTTTATTTCACAACCGATAGTTAGATTTATATGATATACCATTCCTTTGGACCTTTTTTACAGGACATGGAAGGGTTACTCTCTGAGAAAAGGCCCCATGTATGCACCAGAGAGAAAAAAGTTTGCAACAGATTTGACTCGAGAACATCTTCTGAGGTACTACAAATCTTTTATGTTAAATTGATATCATGTATATGGTGATACTCCATCATCATTCATATAAAATAACTCTAGTTCATTCCCGGTATGCATGAGTTTAGCTTATTACACAAGTAGCCTTTTCCTTATAAATTCATATTAAATAACTTCATTTCGCACAGAATATGAAGGTCTTGTACATTGATGCTAATTATTCTGTGTTCGATTTTTTTTTGTTTTGGTTTTTAGGGGTGATTGGAAGGACTTGGAGTTTAAAGACTACAATCTAGATGTGCAAGAACAGCCAATTGAAATAGGCTACCTACATCCTCTCCTCGAGGCATGACTTGACTATCTCCCTTTCCTTTCCTTTGTGATGTTTTAGTTGAGATATGTCCGACATAGGTGCTACTCTAGTGTGAATGTCTTAAATGCTCCAGTATGGGAAGCATTAATCCCTAACAAAACCATAGTGTTGGAGAGGAGGTATTTTACCTGCCATCAGTGTACTAAGACAATAGTCGATGGAAATGCTCTCCTTTTTTTTTTCTTTTTGTTTGAGAGAGAGAGAGAGAGAGAGGGGGGGTGGTAGGAGTCAACATAGCTTCAATTTTTCAAATTATCTTAAATACATTGTGGAGTGAACTGATAACATCACTTTACATATGATTAAAATAACACGCTTGTGATGGCAGAGGTCATCTAAGCGATTTTTGTGATATTGACAGAATTGACCTTCAAACTCGAGACATTTACTGATAAATGGGATCATATGTTATTAGATGTGCTGCAAGGGGGCACACTATTTTTACTTTTTATAATTAGGCCATCTGACTGGAAGAAAGACATGCGTTGCTAGTAGGTTGCCTTGCTTCTAGCCTTTTCCCTCTATTAGGTGGAACCGTGGAATCATCTGGATTAGACGAAGACCAATATCTCACACCCGCATTTCACTTGTACTAGATTGTGGATCGTATGAGAGATGGTCATGTTTTTATTATCCCAACCTAAATTGATTATAAGCCGCGTAGTCCTAGTAATTAGCTACTTGATTCCCCATTTGATCAACCCAACATGAAGATAACTTAACTGACCTTTATCTCCAGCCTTGATTAATCTCTATGCCCGCTTTTTTCTCAATATTGTATGCAATGCCTTTCGATATTGTATTTAACAATATATCTATTATGACATCATTTCCTAGGCTTTTGATCATGGTTTTTAATGTTAGCTGACATGTCGGATCGGAGGATAGAGCAACACAGATATTGTCATTTGAAGTCGGATATCATTTTTGAGGTCCATGTCGGGGGCTATTGCGGGACATATCGGCTGATTTTCAACCTTGAAAAATTGGCCGATGTTTTTTTTGAGTTGATAAGTATTGGGGTTTGGGTTTAGTACTCAAAACCCAAACCCGATTAATTCTTCTTTTAGCCTTTTGCTCCCATTGTAATCTGATAACATATAATACAAATTAGGGCAAAGAAAAAAATGCTACTCTCTTTTCCGCTGCAATTTCCTCTCATTCGTCTTTGTCTCTACAAATTGAAATTGCGAGTTCATAAAAACGTGATGTAAACAATAAGTTTGAACCGTAGCTTGAAATCAATCCAAAGTCCAACACTTTATGTCAATTTTATGCAATACACTTTACTTTTTGTTAATTTTATGCAAGATACTTTGAAAGTTCTAGTTTGACAATGTGTATTTTGTTTATTTGTTAGCATAATATTCCACTGTTTCTCTTTAAAAAATGGAAAACAATTTGTGTCTTGATGTTGAATACTCAACTCAAGTAGGATAAGCTATAAGAAGACAAGTGCGTTCCATCTTGGTGACCAAAATTGAGTAGAAATCCATTTGATATGGCAATCCGATATTTAGTACATGTCGCCCGACATACCCCCAATTTTCGCTATCCGACATGAATTTTAGCTGCTCGACATCCGACATTTAAAACCCTAGT